CCACATGTATCTCACACCGACGATACTTGCTATTTAGGGTTATCTCTACCGCTCGGTGACCCTCGACGACCCTCGTTCCCGATAAAAAAAAGAGGAAGAAGAAGAAAAAAAGAGGAGAAGAAAGAATAGAGGAGTCTGGGGGGAGGAGTACTTTGTATGTGAGAGTTAAAAAGGAACATGACCTCGTTGGAATTGAACTGTTGCCTGTTCCATTTGAGGAGTTCTTTCAGTTTTTCAATCAATTGGCCCTCGATAAAGCAACGGTCACCTGCTACTGTCTGTAAGTAGTACTATTTTTGTCACTAAGTCTCTCTATATAGCTCAGCTCTTTCATTGCATGTATTTATAATTATCCTCACTATATTATGCAGATTGAAGATCGTCGAATTGAAGAAAAGACAAATCGGTGATATTGGGTTCATTAACACAAATCTCATAGATGCAACTCAGGTTAAATTTCATGCCGCAGATACCGAGGCCAACTTGCTATGATCGTTGGTAATAAATGAAAACAAAGATATAATACTCTTTCCTTACAACTTGAAGTGAGTGTTACTATCTTGTGCATATTCGGTTTCCCTTATATATTAGTCAAGGTTATAGTAATGTAATTGATGAGTTATGCATGCGTGTGCAGTTTCCACTATATACTCCTAGAGATTAAGCTTGAGCTGGGACTAGTAACCGTCTTAGACTCAAGACGAAAAGATCCCCAGGACTATGCGGACATGACTCAAATGCTCGAGAAGTAAGTTAAATCGATCATTATCCACCATATCAGCAACTTTGTTCATTTCCTGATATATCAAGTAATTGTTTTCTTTGTCTGGCAGGGTTTGGAGAAAATTCACCAAAAAAGCTCCGGGACTCCTGAAGAAGCTGCAATTTAGACACTTGAAAGTAAGTACCATAGTAGCATGTTCCACGCATCTCCTAGTGATTCAAGCGCTAATTTCATCAATACCATTTCGCATTCTTGCTTATCAGTTTGATTGACCTCTGTTTCTTGTAAAGTGGTTGTGGCAGGAACAAGGAAATGATTTCTGTGGATACTACGTTTGCGAGTCCATCCGCCACACGACCTATGAGCGGGGCTACTCTGACAAACAATATGAAGTGCGTAAATAAAAACATTCACAATTTTATTTTATTACCATAATTTGTGTTGAGTTTCATTCATTCATATATATATATATATGTATTGACAGACCCTTTTCTTCAAATTAGATGTTTCAGAAGCGGGATGAACTCCTAGCACCAGCTCGCATGCGAGCAATTCAATAGGAATTGGCGGCATTCTTTCTCAACCACGTGATCGCTGAAGACGGAGAATACTATATGGACCATGAGTCCGTATGTCAGGAGATTATATTTGTAAGAGATAATTATTGTATATATGTAGCCGGTAGTGTCGGATAGATATACGAGAACTTGTTGTTCGACCAATCTCTCGGAGAAGCAGAGGTGGTCGATATCACTTCTCTCTGTATGCATATATGTTCATGATGATCTCCTGTTTCCTTCATTTGCTTACTAGCTAGCTAGCGTGTCTAGTCCTCTCTATACGTATGTATAGTATGTAGCGTCGACCAAGCACGGACATAAGAGAGGACACTTCTCTCTATTAATTATAGCTAGCTAACACAATATATGAAACACCTAAATTAACCCCCCAAAACCCCCAGCCCCCCCTCCCCTTCAAAAAAAAAACAAAAATCCCAGCCACAGAAATGCTGACGCGTGGATGCCTATTGGTCCTGGTTGGTGCCACCAACCGGGACCAAAGGCCCTCCTGCCTGGGCTCCGCGCACAGGCCACGTGAAGGCCCATCTGTCCCGGTTCTGGATTGAACCAGGACTAAAGGGACAGGGCATTAGTACCGACTCTTTAGTCCCGGTTCAGGAACCGGGACAAAAGGCCCTTACGAACCGGGACAATAGGCCCTTTTTCTACTAGTGGAGGTGGTTTTGTACCCTACCATAATCCCTTCGTTCGTTCTCCGCTATTAGTGACTTTGGAGTGACTCTTTGTTGCATGTTGAGGGATAATTTTATGATCCAATTATGTTAGTATTGTTGAGGGAACTTGCACTAGCGAAAGTATGAACCTTAGGCCTTATTTCCTATCATTGCAATACCGTTTACGCACATTTTTATCATTAGTTACCTTGCTGTTTTTATAATTTCAGATTACAAAAACTGTTATCTACTATCCATATACCACTTGTATCACCATCTCTTCGCCGAACTATTGCACCTATACAATTTACCATTGTATTGGGTGTGTTGGGGACACAAGAGACTCTTTATTATTTGGTTGCAGGGTTGCTTGAGAGAGACCATCTTCATCCTACGCCTCCTACGAATTGATAAATCTTAGGTCATCCACTTGAGAGAAATTTGCTACTGTCCTACAAACCTCTAAACTTGGAGGCCCAACAACGTCTACAAAAAGAAGGTTGTGTAGTACACATCAGTCTACTGGTTGGATCCTTCTTATCTACACATTTCTTCATCAGCGGCAATTGTTGTCCTGGTGCGCTAGTCGTATGAGGCCTTAGCACGAAGACTTTCTGATTGTGTACTACAACAAAGTTTGTTCAGCTCCGATGAGGGAGGGGCGATGACGGCAGCACGCCTCCATCGCTAGGTGGTCTAGGGACCTGGATGTATATTTTACTTCTGGTGTTCTTTCTACTACCTTAACAATTGATGAATGGATTGAAAGTTTTCCTTGCAAAAAATATATATTTTCATATCATTCTTTGTAAACTCGGACAAATTTTATTAAGCTTGACTTCAGTCAAATCTAAAATGTGTAGTAAATAAAAACAGAGAGAGCGTTGGTAACTTTTGTTTATGAGCGCGACAATTTTTTGACGAAAAATAAAGTGAGGACAAATTTATCATGCTTGCCAACTAAATTTGCTATGGTCAAGAAATATCGTTACCTAATAATAAAGGGGCTATTGCTTCTGGTGATACATCATTAGAATCGCCCCCAAATTTGCAAAAATATTACCCACCAATGCCACAAATAAGTGACAAAAAACGTTTTGCAGGGAATCCCCCGCCTGGGCCGGCCCAAGAAGAGGGACCTACTATACTGCATTCTGCGCGCTAGAAAAGATACAACGCATCCGTTTGGGCTGACGCATGTGCGGATCTCTGTTTTCTTGTTTCGTTTTTTATTTTATTTTTTCTATTCCCTTTTGTTCTTCTTTAAATGGTTTGGAACATCGAAAAACTTTTGAAATATATAAAAAGATAATTTTGAAAAACATGTTCAATAAAACATAAAATGTTTTTGAACTTAAAAAAAATACTTGGGATCTTTCTAAAAATATTTTCATATTCAAAACAAATGTTCACAATTTAAAAACAAATGCCCGTAAAAAAGTTCATGATTTTTAAAAATGTCCGTGTATTAAAAATAATTAATGAAATGGAACATAATGTTTGCTAATTAAAAAATGCTGATGCATTTTGAAAATTGTTTGAAAATTTAAAAAACAGTTCGTGAATTGCAAAAGAGTGTATTGATTCATAAAATGTTTGCTGATTCAAAAAATGTTCATACATTTCAGAAAATGTTCATGAATTTCAAATAAAAATGTTTTTTTTGAAAATATGTTTATCTATTATAGAATTGTTCGCCGATTCAAAAGAAAATGCTTGTAACAAAATGGTCACAATTGTAACAAAATGTTTGTAACTTCTAAAAATGTTCCCAAATTTGGAAAACTGCTCACAAATGATCGAGGGTATGTAGTTAAACTGCAATGCTTCCGAGTCTTTGTGACTATATACCCGCGTGAATTTTAAAGAATGAACTACTGGGGTGGATCGACATAGTATGTTTTGTTAATGTTTCTTGAAATTCAAAATAATACTTTGAAATACCAAGTTTTAAAAAATATGAACATTGCTTTAATTTGTGAATAAATTTTTAAAAAGAAACATTTTCTTGAATTTGTCTCAAAAACGTGTGATGAGATGCGAACAAAATGTGGTCATTGTCATTGGAGATTTTGATTTTTTTTCCCTCCTGCTGTAACACACGCGCCCTTTTGCTAGTACTCCCTCCGGTCCTTTTTACTCTGCACATTGGATTTGCTGAAAATCAAAATTTGCTAAGTTTGACCAAATTTATATTAGAAATTATTAGCATCTATAATATCTAATAAATATAATATGAAGATATATTCCAAGATGAATCTAATGATATTGGTGTTGTTATGTGAATGTCTATAATTTTTTATATAAACTTGGTCAAAGTTGAATGAGATTGACTTCGGACAAACCTAATATGCAGAGTAAAAAGGACCGGAGGGAGTAAATTGCAAAAAAAAATACTAATTGTTTTGGGATGATAAAATTCCGAGCGTTCGGTACTTATCGGTGTCCTAAAAAATCAGGTGTGCGCAAAAAGTTTGGGCCGTACACGTGTCCAGCACTCCCTCTGTGAACAATCGGCGGCTTGACTGACGAGTGGGCCCCTGCTCGAACTCACACAGTGACACTATACCTGGCCAAATGTCGGGCCGGGCCGGGCTAAACAAAGCCCGTTGCAAAAAACCTGGGCCCGAGCCCGGCCCGGCCCGGCCATCAGGCCTAGATTTCAGGCCCAAGCCCGGCCCATCAGTCAAAAAGCCCGACGGGCCTCGGGCCACGGGCCGGGCCTCTTTGTTAAATGGCAAATATGGCAGGCCTGAGCCCGGCCCGGCCTGGCCATTGGGCCTAAAAATCAGGCCCAAGCCCGGCCCATGGGCAAGGTCGGGCCGGGCCGGGTCGGGCTTTTTTAGATCGGGCCGGGCCGGGCCGTCCGGGCCGGGTTTCCCATGGCCAGGTCTAAGTGACACTAAAGCCTTCGTCCTCTCCAGCGGCCTCCTCTCGTATCGACATCCTGCTGCTGCCTCTCACACAAATCTCAAACCCTACCTTGCTCGCTATCCTTCCAGATCCCGAGCTCCCCTCGCGCCCCGCCCCTCCCCGGCCCCCATGCGGATCCGCAGGTCCGCCTCCCGCCTGCTTGGCTCCGCCGTCTCGGGCTCCTGCACGGAGCCGCCCCGAATCGAGCCGCCCCCGCCCCCGCCGCCAGCCCCAGCCCCAGCCCACGAATCCGGCGCCGGGTTCGTGGGGCCGAAGACTTCCTCCGGCGGGGAGCCCTGCTGCGAGCTCAGCCGGTCGCCATGGGACCTCATGGCGCAGCTCGACCTCTCGGATCCCCAGGTAATTTCCTCACCACCCGACCCCCTCGCTCCTTGCCCCGTGCTCTCCCGCCTGGCCGCAGCTTTGTAGCATTCCCGTGACGCTCTGTAGCAGCTAGCATGCCCGCCTCGCTACCTAGCTCGCCTCTGCGGAGGTTACCATTCGGGGTCTGGACCATGTCGCTAGGGTTCCGCTCCCCCAACCCGCGTGGTGCGGGGTCGAGGTCTAGCCGTAGGGCGCGTCAGTTAGCTCCCTCGCGGTAATCTGTGATCGTCTGGCGGCGGCGCGGCGGCTAATCGGGCTGCAAGTTCATCTGTCGGTCGTGAGCCCTACCAACCCGCCCCCCATTTCAGTTCAGCAATATCAGTAGCAGTAGCAGCTAGCTCTTTTCGTTCTTTAACGTTTATTTTCCGAATTACCATCTCATTCAGGTGGAGAAGCTCTTCGTGGAGACTTGCTTCATGAGTGTTTCCTGGCGAGGTAGCTGGCTCTTCCCATCAAGCATTACCATGCCTACTGGCTCCATCAAGGAGGAGGAAGACTTGACCGTAGATATGGTTGACGGGGTCATCTTGAAACTGCACAAAGCTGTGGAAAAGATGGAGAGGAAGCCGAAGCCAAATAAGGGGTTCAAAGTGCAGAAAGGAGTGTGGAGGTGCCGGAAGAATGACGGCAAGAGGTGGTGCTGCCAGCGGCCCGCGAGTGAGCCCAACTCCTACTGCCCGTACCACTTGGACCAGAAGCCCCCCGTCAGCGACAAGCCACGTAGAAAGAGGCCCGACATCGACCTGGGCGAGGGGTTCTACTACTATGCGGGGTTCGGCCCCGGCACCAAGAAGCGCCGCACGTCATGCAGCGACAGCGTGCCAGAACCTATTCTGCCTGCTGAATCTCTGAAAGAGGAGGCACCATCTGAAATGCAACTTAATTTTAGTGCTTGTCAGGTACAAGTGAATGAATCAGACCATCAATCAGTGCTCCCGCCATCAGCACACGTCGTCGACGAGCCTGGCACCGCTAGGATGGTGGGCTGTGACAAGGAGAGCAGTGATGATGGCATGCAGGAACTTCCACTGCCTGCTAAACAACCAAAAGAGGAGGCACAGTCCGAAATGCAACTTAATTTTAGTGCAGGTCAGGAACAAGCTGATGACTCAAACCATCAAGAAGCAGCGGCATCAGTACGTGTAGTCAACAAGCCTACGGGCAACGACGGCACCACTGGGATCGCAGGCTGGGACGAGGAGAGCAGCGATGAGGAAGCGCTTGGCTGCAATGGCAAACAACCCTGCGGCACCAAGAGGAAGGGCCCGTTCAAGAAGAGGTGGAGGAAGCCTGTGAAAGCCCGGTCGCTCAAGTCACTGATGATGTCGTAGTGCCTGACTCTCATAGGTTTAGTAGTTAGCTCAGCTTAGTCTGCTCCAGTTTTGGTGCTGAGTTGCAATGTACAAACTGTCCGTAGCATATTTCTTGTGTGTGTACTGTACTGTTTTAACTCTGTGTGCGGCCGTTAGATCAAACTGATTTTTTTTAAAGCTGTCGTTTAATCCTCATGGGTGAGAAGCAGCCACTGTTTTCTTAGTCCTGTGATTCAGTTACCTGACACGTCCAGTGGATGGCCTAATTCAGTCCAGCAATGTGTGCCTGAATGTACTTCAATACATACAGGTTACCTGCATATATATCCGATCTCCCAATTGATGGCTGCAATTGATGCATGACTGCTAGCTCCGGGTGGAAAGAGAAGAGTACACGAATTCACAATGTTTGCATCACTCTTAAAGTCTTAATACAACTCTCTTAAGAACAATATATATAACTGAGACTTAGTACCGTGCTTGAGATGTACTGTCACGGGCGTTGGTACAGAAAAACCTAGGAGCTCCCAACACTTGGTATATGTACGTGTTGGTTGGCGTCGCCAAACAACATTCACTGGAAAAGAACATTTTGGATTTTCTTGGATTTATTCCGGCCTTTCCGACAATTTGCTTTTGGTAGGAGACGATGTTTTTGTCAACTACAAGACGTTTGTGGTGACTTTGTACTTATTGATTTTTTTTTTTTGCGAATTGCTGAAACTTTGGGTAGTGTCAGCTGTGTCAAGTTGCAAAATTTGTAGTGAAATCTTTTCTTCCTTTTGGTGAAATCAAGGAAAGACCCTTTCATCCAAAAAAAATATTGGCTATAGTTTGATAATCATGCAGAACGAGGTGCTTGCAAGAATGGATTGTGATAGAGAACCATGAAGAGATCTTCCTTTGCATTTAACAAGTG